CGGAGCTTTCGGCCCCAGCGCCCGCGTGAGCGCCGTGTGTGCCCTCCGGCGGATCTCCTCCGGCAGCTGACGTCTCACGCCCAAGGCCCCGTAGGTTACATTGTTCCTATGGTGGCGGTTAGGAGGAGGAGCTTTGCGTCTGCGATAGGGGGGAAAGCGGGCCTGGGGTCGAAACCCAGCCTAGTCTACTGCTCGCCCACGAGGGGGCGTGGCCCCAGCAGCATTCGCCTGGAAGTTATTCAAGCCGCCTACGTGCAACTTTGCAAAGTCGGCATTTGCACCAAGGGGACTGACATGTCAAAGTTCCCTCCTTCGAGCTAACCTCTACGCCGGAGAGAGACCTTGAGGGGGGAAAGCTGGTAGTGGCGCACCACGTGAGGGGGCATACGGATCAGCCCTCTCCCCCCGAAGCCAATGCTACATACTTCGTATTCAATCCAGTGGTGCTACGGAATGGCACAGACTTTCCCGTATTAGTTGTTTATTTCCTTCGGTCTCGGTGAGCTATTCGGACTTGCCACATACTCTTGCCAGCTGCCATCTGTCGCTGCCCAAAGTACATTTACCTTGTCCTAAATGGCAATTTATTTGAAAAATTTAGAGCCGATTTTAAGAAAATGGCGTTGAAGCGCTACTGTAAATTCGAAATTTGAAGCTCTTGTCATAGATAATTTTTCAGTTTTCGCGAAACTTGATTCGAAGTTGTCTGAAGCACTTTCACTCATAAATATAATACAAATGTCTGGAAATGTGCATATTAACTGCGTGAGAGGACTTTAAAACAAATAACATTTGTGTAGTTTTCGAAAAAAGTCTTTAAAACACACATTATCTTCAATGAGTTGGAAACGCAAATATATATTATTAGTGATAGTTGATTACGTCAGTTTATTTATTATGATTTTATAACAGAACACAGTCAGATGGCAGCATGTTACAGTATTATATTCATAGTTCTATGAATACATGTATACTTAGCTACGTTTTTATAATAGCGGACACTGTGCAACAGTTAAATCAACCAGTGTTGTCTAAGATATTCAAATACATTTCAAGCAGACCGTTTCGAAGAACTAGTCAGTTTGTTTAAATATTTGTTGTGTAATAACCACTGAAAGAAAGGGAGTGAATGCGCCAAATACATTTTGTTAAATTTGTGGATGTTTAATGATTGCAAAACAGAGATCGAACATAACCTCGTTCGTTAGAAGTGTTTATAACACTTATTTTGAAATGAAACTGAGGCATCAGGATAAGCCATGGGCCCATCATAAAGTGTGCAGTGTTTGTGGTGCAGAGATAAGAAACTGGTCGAAGGAAAAGAGGAAGATACTGAGTTTTGGAGTTCCTATGGTGTGGCGTGAGCCAAAGAACCATCTAAATGGTTGTTATTTTTGTATTTGCGAAGTAAAAGGATTCAATACAAAGAACAGACACGGAATGATTTATCCTGATTTGAAGTCTGCTAGAAGGGCTATACCACATGGCATTGATGTTCCTAAACCAGAACTTCTTTCGAACCTAGAAATACTGAATTTTGATTCAAGTTCAACGCCAAGCGAGTCAGTTGAAGAATCTGATTGGACAAGCACCAAGCACAAACTCAAACCATTAACACAAACAGAACTGAACGATTTGGTCAGAGATTTAAATCTCTAAAAGAATGCTTCTGATGTTTTATCTTCACGACTGAAAGAAAACAATCTTCTAGTTCCATAATCATACTAGATCATGCAATTTATAGGCATAGAGAGAAAGACTTAGTACGGTTTTTAATGAGTAAATCTCCTTAGTAAATTGCATCTCGAAAAGGTAAATTATGAGGAATATAAATGGATAATCTGTCGTGGTTTAAAGGTTTTGTGCATGTAGTTAGGACAAGAACAGTGTTACAGCAAGTACCCATTTCACATTTGTGAATTTGATAGCCAAGTTGGAAAGAATCATCGTAAAACAGAGAGATGGCCTAGAAGAAATGTTGATTCTAGGCTCCAAGAACATAATAAAAACAGCTCAGTAGATCCTGACAAATTTGTTACCTCCCTTACGCATTCAACTGAAGCACTACTAAAGCTCTGGATAAGAATGGAAGTTGTTTGAAGTTCCTAACAAAGTAACAGCTTTCTCAGAAGGAAAAGTAAAAGAAGTATCTTGCTAGGGCCGCAGATCAGAGAAATAGCTAAAGAAGAATGTATGACACCTCCAGAAAGGAAGTTAGTATTGGCTTCAAAGAAGTGGTTCATAAGTTCTTGGGAAATTATGAAGATCCAAATTATGAGTATTATGTTAATAATATGATGAAAAAATACGAAGCCTTAGGATGTAACATGAGTTTGAAAGTGCATTTTTTCACTACCATTTACACTGCTTTCCAGGAACCCTGAGAGCAGAGAGTGACGAACCGGGTGGGTGGTTTCACCACCATATTAAAGACATTGGAAGGCGCCACCAAGGGCGATGGAATACATCAATGATCGCTGACTACTGTTAATTACAGCAACGAGATGATCCTACTAGAGTGCACAAGAGAACAAACGGAACAAGATTTCCGCCTAAGTGACAACGATTCTATTGACTGCTCATACGCATGAAAACAAAAAGTGATTTTAACAGTAAAGTGTAACAGTAACAGTAAAGTAATGGTTTACAGTTAATGTTTCATTTTCATTTTCTTAACTCTGATATCAAATATAATATAAGGTAAACTATTTCAGTTCTCAGTTTCGTGTTGATCAAACAATGTTTTCATATTTTCAATTTAAAGATATTATCAATATTTTTAAATGTAATTTGTTTAAACCTCATGTGGAACGGGAAAATGAAAGTCATTTCTATAATCCTTGCGCTTTAAATATATAAAATCAGGTATTCTATCTAAAAATGGTGACCAAATGTTTTTTTGTAGACATATTGTGTTTTATGATACATCCTCAGGGATTATGGAGTGCTACCGAGTTCCCTTAACGCGACTCCCAGTGCTCTGTCCGACAATCAGCGGTGACAAAGAATAAGGCGCAGTGATGGGGCGGGCTCCCTCGCGTCTCGAGATCGCAATGGAGGCCCGAGTGGAACCCGTCTTTTTTAAGGTCGCATCGACTAGGTCACCAGTGACCACAATTGGATTTAACGGTATGATAACTGTTAAGATGTCATGATGTGGTGATGATAGGGGATAAAAGGACTAGGGGAAATAAATAAATAAATAAATAAATAAATAAATAATTAAATAAATAAATAAATAAATAAATAAATAAAATAAATAAATAGAAAATAATATAAAAAAATAACTAAATAAATAAATATAAAAATAAATAAATAAATTAAATATAATAAATAATAAAATAAAATAAATATAAAATAATAATAATACAAAAATAAGTAAGAATAATAAGATATAATACAAATAATAAATAATAAATAATATATAAATAAATATAAATAAATAATATAATAATAAAATAATAAAATACAATATAAAGGTAATAATAAAATAATAATATAACATAAATAATCCATGCGCTCTGTTCTTCTTCCGGATTATTAAATCCATTTTTATTCCTTTCTTTCTACTTTTAATAAATTCGGTACTTCACTTTTCTACCTTTATTTTATCCATTATTGTGACAGACGGACAGACGACAGACGAAGACGGACAATCGGAAGACTGACAAGACGAGGGACGTACAGAACGACGAGACGACGGACGACGACAGACGGACACGACGGACGTAAAACGGACGACGACAGACAGACGGGAACGAGACGGACAGACGGCAACGGACATAGCGACGACAGACGGAAACGACGACTGACCGGACGACGACAGGACGGACAGCACAGGTACACGGGACGGAGCAGACAGACGAGACGACAACGGACAGACGACAAGCGACAGACACAGAACGGACACGGACGACGAGCGCAACGACAGACGGAAGACGACAGACGACAGACGGACAGCGACGACGGACAGACGGAACAACGAAACGGACACGGACAGACGGACAGACGGACAGACGGACAGACGGACAGACGGACAGACGGACAGACGGACAGACGTTTGGCCGGCAATCGATTTTCCGGTGTACATTTAACAACTGGATGTATCTTCTTTTCGTTCCCTGGGCCCGGCAACAAGAGTTCTATAAAGAGTGTCCAAATTTCACCGTTTTGCGTCGCACGATTTATGTTTTCTCTTCTTACGTTAGTAAGTAATTGAGTAAAAAATTGGCAAAAAAATTTAAAAAGGGTTACAAAAATAAATGATACGATTTCATGAATTGCATTAATGATGTACTGTCTGAAAATAACACGTTTTTTGAGAAAATGGAAGATTTGTAGCCAAATTAGCTGTGCTATTTCATCTACACGCCTCTGACTTTTGTGGATGCGCTTCGTTGTTCAAAACAATATGGGTAGGATATTTGTAACAAATTGCAGTTCAGAAACTGAAATTGTAATTGTAAACGTTATTCTATTACTTTTTTCTTTTCTATTGATGATAAAATATTTGTGCAATTTAGGATATTTCTTTATACCATCTTTGTTAAACAACGCAAAAAAATATAGCAAGATGTACAATATACTTAACTTGAATATTTACTTCAATTATTTCTCCCAAAAGGTAGATTATATTATTAATTAGATCGTTGGTGACCTTCTAATAATTAAATACGGTAAATTAATGATGTTCTCTGGTATCAAAAAATATATTTTGAGAAAGATCTTTTCGATCACGTAAGAATCATCCTCAGAGCTTGCAGCAAAATATATTTTTTGATACCAGATAACATTTTTAATTTACCGTATTTAATTAGATTATATTATGTTTGGATAAAAATATATCTTTTCATTTCAAGCAGGCTTTACTGGACATTTCATTAAGAAAGGTTTATAAAAAGAAACTGTTAATTTTAATTGCATATTCAAGGAGTTTGAAGTCATAAATGCATATTTTTAAAGCATATCTGAAGGGTTTTTATGGCATAAAAGTCATCTCCCTACTGCCGTGCATGCTCATGTTTTTAGAGAATACTCGTGACAACAACCCCACCTTGTCATCCATACAGTTCCGCTCTGACCGCTGGAGCGCTGCTGTCGCAACCTCTGATTTCTCACCCGTTTTAGTTGCTTCGTCGAACAGCACGCTTTCATTACGCTGGATGGAGTTTGTGAGCTAGTCAATGTGTGAATGTTCGCGCACTGCTAATATAGCGTCACAGCGTGATCAAGTAAGTTTCTTGCAAAATAATTTACAATAAATCCCCTATTTGTGCAACATATTCATATTCCAGTCCAACAACTCAATATAAGAATGAAGTGTTCGAATTTCAACGAATGTTTTCACAGCTACTGTGGATCTGGATTCCAGAAGGTTACGGTTGAAATTCACATTTCAAGATTTGTTTTATGTTAACTAGTTTAGATAACACGTATATTTAAAGCATTGGTCATTAAGTCAGATTTTAAACAAGTTTTTAAAATTGTAGTAGGTACTATCTTTAAAAATCTACTCAAAAAGTTAACGCTGCGACTGCAAACTCTGCATGCCTTCCAACTAATTTCGTATGCGTGTAGGAGGTACTCTCATCTTGCTTACCATGTTTCTAGGAAAGATGTTAAAAACATTACTAAAAAATCTAGTAGCAGACCAGTTATAATTGTTTGTTGATTGGGAATGGACTTGGCAAACGTTCTTGTTGTTTTAAACTTGCTGCAACAATACAGGTTTCTCACATTATTTTTAAATTTGAAATTTTCGAAAATTGAGATGTTTCAACGAAACTGAGACCTACACCATTCTTTTAAGCGTCCCGTGATTTATCCGTGGAAATAATTTAAAAAACACGGAGGGTTAAAAATGTTTTTAATATATTTCGTTAACTTGAAGCAGAAGACATAGATCTAGTATCACGCGAAAACGACTACGTTTTTTCAGAAAATTGAACAGGGCTTTTAAAGGGCTGATTTTATGACGTTATTAAATTCTTCAATTTTATCATTTTCAAATGATAAAATTTTCAAGTTATAGAGTTCGCCGCAAAATGCGACTAGCAGTTTTTTTACCCTCCTTTGATATATGCGAGGAACAAATTTGAAGACAATATTCGTAGCCGTTTTAATAAAATAAATCCTTTAGAAAAGATAGCCATATTTCATGCACAATTACTCGAAAATAACTTGTATTTTCAAAAGATTATACATGGCTTCATTTCAAGATGTCTGTAAAGGATATTTTTTATTTTTCTATTTACAATATTGTAGTAATTGTGGGAAGACGCAAAACAAATTTGAACTCCTAGATGTTCCAAAAATCAGCGGTTTAAAAAAAAAATAGGACCTGCCCCATTCTCTTAGATGTCTTTCTATCCAAGAACAAAGTTTATTCAAAAAGTTTGAAGCCATTTTGGAGGAACTTTTGAAAATGTTGATGCTTCATATAAAGTAACCCTAAAAATCAACATATTCCTATCAAACTCGGAGGACGTAGAGTTCCTCTAAATAGATCGAGGAATATCAGTTTCGGTGATAATCGGCTGAAGGGATTTGGCGCTAGCTTGGTCGGACGGTCCGACATTTTGCGGTGGATTTTTCGGTATGAAGGATAGTCAGGAAGGAGGTCAGAGGAAATAATTTGCTATCTACAGGAAAGAGTGTTATCCACTTTTTTGTTACCAGGGCCTGTGAAGTTTTTCTGTTGAAAATTGGCAGTTTCCGGAGCACCATTACAAAACGTTCTCTTCTTACGAAGGTCTGGGAAGTAAAATATGCAAACTAAATTATAAAATAGGGTTCTGTACTACATTTTGCCACCGAAATTAAGTCACGTTCTTAATCCGAGAAACGTTTAGGTACAGTGCAAGAGGGGCCAGGAAGCTGGTGATGGTGCATCTCTCCTTCTCCTTAAGACGGTCTCCAAACTCGTAAAGATATTCTAAGAAAATCAGCCTATTCAATTATGTAATTGAAACTTTAATTTCACTTCGTGTAAGTTCAATAAATATTGAGCTTTTATCGTTTTCGTCCGTCCACCACTTGAACTGCATCTACTTACCACCGCGAGAATGTGCGAAACAACACGAACCTTTGGCGCAGAATGGTGTCGTATATAACGTACTTTCAAGGTGCAGTTGAAAGTTTCTACGCTCCGGGCTTCGACCTTCAGTTTTCACCATCATCATGAATCATTGTCTGCATAAGGCGCTTTATTGAAAAGTCCGTTGATGCCGAACAGTTGTTTGTTAGGAAAAGAAAAACGACAAAACTAATTCAAATTATTTATTTAGGAAAATAACTTACAATCTAGGAAACATACTACATTGACCCATTGCTTCTAAACTAGCGGAATAGCGGATGAACTTGTAGAGATAACCTCTGTGTATTGTAATCGTTGACACTATATTGTTAAAATTAACGGTAATTTCTGAGTGCCCATCCATCCGATAGAAAAAGTCGATATGTGCGCCAGCACATGGAAAACTAAAATGAAATTGTCGTTTCAGTAGCTAGTATTTTCGTCAGGGAGGTGTAGGGGTAAAAGTGTGAATTGTTAGTAATGCACATGTGTCATAAAATAAGTAATTGGAATATAAATTTATAAATTCAATAAACAAATAATTAAGAATTGACAGCATTTAAATAAAGCGTCAATATTCAAAATGATCATTAATATTAAATAAATAAAAAGGTTTTTATAACTTAAAAATTGTTAAAATATAAAAAATTAAAACTGTTTTCTTTTTGCGAAATATTAAATTTCTCTTCGGAAATACGGACAGCTTTGTCATATATAATTGTGAAGTAAATTTTTAAACTGAAAATTTTATCTTAAAAGATTTCAATTCAATATTTCTTTTCCTGAGACGAGTATCGTGTGTGTAGCCTACTCATATTTTTTCTCTACAAACAATAGTGAACGACAGCTCCGTACCATCGTAGCGTGAATTTGAAAAAACAAGTTTGTGTTTGTATCGTTTCATACCCAATATCCCAATCTTCGAAATTTTACGGAAGGAGTAACCCCCCCCCCTTTTTTTCCTACGATCATGTCGAATGTTTGATAAAAATGTGTTGTATACAGCAGAAAAAAAAGCTACACTGGCAGCAGTTTGGGAAGAAATTGAAATGTCATGTGTTGCAATCACTGAAAAAACGTAGCTAACTTTGCTCGAACAGTGGTTCAACGAACTCGGAGAACCGACGCCGCATTTTGAGCGTTTGTTGTTTCTGTTGAAACTATAAAGATCAAACATAATTATTGTTCATAACTTTGTAAGAATTCAGATTTGCTATGTTGCTAGTAATTTCAGTGTTTCTTGTTGTGTGTGTACACTCTGGAAAATAATGTTCGCGTCGAAAATGCTTGGCGCATAGTATTGCGTCTGGACATCCTGCTTGCCGACAGCTATCTACAGTTATTTCTGAAACTAGTTTGTGATCGTGCTATGAATTTAATTTATTATTGAGAGAGTTAAATATACATTGAGAAAAAGTATGGTAGCACTAGAGAAAAAGACTTCGTGATTCCTGCAGTTAAAACTCACTTACATAAATTTTTGTAAACAATGTTGCTTCAATTTTCGTAATATAAAAGTGTGTAGGATAAGAGGAGCAAGAAAGTCGCAGAATGCCTTAGTATTAAGATGCTGTTTTAGCACTCGTGAAGTGCGGTTGGTTCCACCCTACGCCCATAGATTTATCCTTCTACGTGCATAAAATAACACTAATATTAAACATTTTACCATGTCTGGACAATTTTAAATGCATAAACGGTGAAATCGGCTGTCGCGAAGGGTCGATATTTCATAGTAAGAATTAGAAAATTAATCAGTTATTAAATAAAATTGGCATTATTGTGTGTGAGATAATATATGTTAGTCC